GTCCGTGGAAAAACCTTTCTCCATGGAACCGGTCCCTGGTGCCCAAAAGGTTGGGGACCTCTGTTTTAGAACATCAAACACAATTCTAAATACGAGAAGAAACCTGCAATTATGTAAGCCAAGATAATCTTGTTTTGTGTATGCAACACAATTACCTGTTTTGTGTCCAGATTAAAGTCTATTATCTACATGCTTAGCGATGAACACATATTTTATGCGTTATCGTTTCATAACTCACAGTTTCTTGCCAATTCTCCTCTCTTTCATATGTCTACTTGTCTCTCTGATCTGGTATTCAATTTCTCTCAGCTTTAGGCCCAAGAAAGATTGGTTGTCCACACCCTGAGTGCCATCTACAGGACACACATTATGAATACTTAAGGTTCAACTAGGAGATCTGGTATCTCCTTTCTTCCAGTGCTTTTCCAGTACTCTTATCAGGTTCTTAGAATTTTGACAGGAATAACACATTCAAGTTCTTTTCCAGTGCTCTAAGGCAAGGCTTTTCAACCTTTTCACCCATTGTACCACTTTTAGGATATGGCAATATCCGAGTACCACCAGTCGCCTAGCAAGGTGTCAAAAACTTGATGACCAAAAAAAAAAAAAAAAAAAGGAAAAAAGTGATAAAGTACAGGTAATCCTTGACTTACAACAGTTCCCTTAGTGACTGTTCGAAGTTACAATGGCACTGAAAAAAGTGCCCCCCAAGCCACAGCTGAGCAAGACACATGCCTGCACGCCCGGCCGTGCTCTTTCTCCTGTCCGAGGTTTTCATTGTTGTGAGCATTTCTGTTGGGGATTGGCAGTGGGGGTGGGGTGGGGGGGTGTTTGGTTTTTATTCCCCCCGTCTGCTGGGTGGTTGCAGCAAGGTTTGGTCATTCACATGACCCTGGGACACTGTGACTGTCATAAATATGAATCAGTTGCCAAGCATCTGAATGTAAATCACAAGACCCTGGAAATGCTGCAACATTCCAGCTGATCAGCGCTTCTTCTGGGCCCAGCTGGAGCCTGGCACTGATCCTGGCGCTTCTGCTGAGCGCTGACAACCCTGCAGCTCCAGCCATCTCTCGCTCAGGCTTGTGCGGTGCTGCCACCGGTTCAGCTCATTCCCCTCCCCCCTTTTCTAGGATGGTCGCGTACCACCTGCCAGGTGCCAATGTACCACAGGTAGTACCCGTACCACTGGTTGAAAAGCCCTGCTCTAAGGTTCTTAGCTAGTGACAGAAATAGCACATTCCAACTTTTGATGGGGGAAAAAAAACCTTCATGTCCTCAAATAATCCCACAATTATGCCTCTTTAATGAAAATTTTAGATGACTGTTCTTCAAAAACACAGGAAGCTGACAACAAGCCTCCTTCAAAGCATGCTATGAGTTTTCTGGCTCCTGGGGAGTTACATGGGCCATGGAGTTAATTTACAATACCATCAAATTGATTTTTAATAATAATAATAATAATAATAATAATAATAGTAGTAGTAGTAGTAGTAGTAATAATAATAATAATAATAATAATAATAATAATAATAATAATAATAATAATAATAATAATAATAATAATAATAATAATAAAAAAGTTGGAAGGGACCTTGGAGGTCATCGAGTCTTTCATGTCTCAAAAGTGCTTTTTCAAAAGGTAGCTGGACTGGAAAAAAACAGTCCAGTTGCAAAAGCGCTTTTGAGACAACTATGATCTGGATGACTGAGAATCTCCACAGACATTATCTTTCCTTTTTTTTTTTGAAAAAAAAATCTAAATTACCCTGAAATGCAGCAAGATCTAGCTCAGGAGTCTTCACACTTGGCCCTTTTATGACTTGTGGACTTCAACTCCCAGAATTCCTCAGCCAGCATGCTTGGCTGAGGAATTCTGGGAGTTGAAGTCCACAAGTCATAACAGGGCCAAGTTTGAAGACCCCTGAGCTAGCTAGAAAGCGATCCTGCCAATTCCGCCTAAAAGCCCTCGCAATTCCATCAATGGTCTGCGGTCCTTTCCTTTGCGCCAATCAATGCACGGGTTGGGCGCGGCCTCCGACCGTCCCTGTCCAATCACAGCCGGCCTCCCCCTCTCCGTGTTACGGTTCCTCTTTCGCACGCGCTTGCTCCGCTGATTGGCGGAGGCGGCTGCCCAATGGGCGAGGCGGAACCGTAGAGTCGAGGGACGCCGCTGGCTCCGCCCGGCCAATCGGGAGGCGCGAGCTCCCCGCGGTGGGCGAGAGGGCGTGGCCGCCGAGAATGCCATCGGGGGACGGCCGGGGCCAAAGAGGCGGGGCGAGGGAGCGGCGTCCAATGGCAGCCGGCGGGGGGCGGGGCGGACGGCCTGGCTTCTGCCTTGGGGAGAGCCGAGCGGAGTCGAGAGGGAGGCGGTTGGAAGCGCCCGCGCGGGGCAAGCTGTGGGGGTGCGCACACGCGCTACGGCCGCTGCCCAAAAATGCACTCGGATGCCGCGGCTGTCAGTAAGTGGGGCGCCGGGCGGGAGCGGCCTGGCAAGCGGGCGGCCGAACCGGCGTCTTGCCTTTTTCGGGAGGGCGGCGGAACGAGAACGGCGGCCAGGGCAGAAAGCGACTGGTGCCGGCGGAGAGTCCGGGGATGCATTGAAAGGGGGGGGGGAGGAGAGAGGCTCCCTGTGACGCAGTTCGCCCGAGGAGGCTTCCGGTTACGGCGGCCCCCCCTTAGTGCTCCGTTCCCCCCCCCCTCTTCCCTGCCCTTCTCAGCGGCGGCCAGGTTGAGTCGGCGAGCCGGGCAGAGATCCAGGGCCGGCGGGGATAGAATTGGGGCGGGGGGGGAGATGTAGAAAGAAAGGAACACCCCGCTCGCCGCCTCTCCCCCTCACTGCATGGTGGGAGTTGGAGTTCCCGTCCGCCGTGGCTGCGCGGCCCGGCCTGGCCCGGGGACTACAATTCCCAGAGTGCATCTCGCGGACAGCTGTCTTGCCTGTCTCTCCCCCCCCCCACACGCCCCCTCCTTTCTCCACCGTTGGGTCAGGGGTGCAGCTGGAGCGCGAAGCCAGGCACGCCTTGCCTCTATGCAGGTAGAGGGGGGGGGGTCTCTGCAAGGACTCCCCTTGAAGGGGCAGTTGCATGGGGTCGAGGGGTCCCCCCCCTTTTTTTTTCTTTTTTGGGAGGGAAATGAAGCTGGGGAGGCGATCCCCTAATGTGTTCTCCCCTCTTTGGTTCTTTCTTCATCACGTTTAAGCCTGGTTTGGTCGGCACTGGACAAACTTCATCGTGGTTTGATTGACACTGATCAAAGAAAAAAAAGGGGGGACACATTCTCTGGCCCTTTATACAGGAGTCCCCAAATTTTGGCCACTTTATGACCTGTGGACTTCAACTCCCAGAATTCCCCAGCCAGGCACAAATTCTGGGAGTTGAAGTCCACAAGTCATAAAAGGGCCAAGTCTGAAGACCCCCTGCTCTATCCTTATTGCAGCTTTTTATTTTTAAATTGCTTTCATTATAATATTTATATATAGCTTTTATGTTTTATGTCTATTTGTGCACCATTCAGAGTCACTCTGTGAGGGAGACGGACAGTTTTTAAATGTGATATATAAATATAAATAAAAGGAGGTGAAACTATGATCAGCTCCTCTGATAACTACCTGATTAAAAGTAAAGCTCTATCCCTGAGGTCTTCAAACTTGGGCCTTTTATGACTTCTGGACTTCAACTCCCAGAATTCCTCAGCCAGCATGCTTGGCTGGGGAATTCTGGGAGTTGAAGTCCATAGGTCATAAAGTGGCCAAGGTTGGGGACCCCTGCCTTAATACCTTTCTTGGAGGTCAACAGAAGCCGGTAATTTATTTCAGGATAAGCTTATTTATGTAAGTTGCTGTTGCAATTTCATTTGTTGCCGGATAGCCATTTGGAAAGAGAGAAATCCTATTGGATTGTTCATTGATCGGGGCCGTTCTAATAGTTGGGTAAGTTTTTTCTAGGTCAGTGGGTGTGTTTTGTTGTTTTTTTTAAAAAAAATATTCCTGATTTTTCTAGGCTTTGTAAATGGGGAACTGACATTCTTGATTTTGTAAAGAGGCTTACCTGAATATGCATGGTAGCCATAGAGGAAGGGGTTTTCTCTGTAGCTATAACAGAATAACAAGCTGCTAATGGTTATTAAAGGTTAATAAAAAAGAAGAGCCTTCCATCTAACAGTGATGGAGAAGGGAACAGAGTGGCAGAGAAGACCCAAATCCCTCTATTCCAGGGGTCTTCAAACTTGGCCCTTTTATGACTTGTGGACTTTAACTCCCAGAATTCCTCAGCCAGCATGCCTGGCTGAGGAATTCTGGGACTTGAAGTCCACAAGTCATAAAAGGGCCAAGTTTGAAGACCCCTGCTCTATTCCTCTCTGGATTCTTGTCACCTCTTGTCTGTGGTGATCAGTGAGTTTTTAAACACAAGGCTATTACTTGAATCAAGCTTGTCCATGCAGAGTACAGGACATAAATATTCTTGGGCATTATAGCAAGTAATGGATAGTTCACACTGTAGCCCATAATGTATTTTTCAGTGTATGTGAAATTCAGAATTCTCTTTTGTTTGTTCTGGGCTGAAAACTCTATCTTACTTTAAAAGTAAGAATGTAATTAAGTTAGTCAACTTGGTGGCTCCCATAAAAAGGTGAAAAGTTCTGCAAAAATCTCCCTAATTCTTGTTCAAAAATAATATTATTCCTCCATGACATTGCTCAGTTTATTTTTATGAATATTCTGTATTCATTTTAAAGAAGTTTGGAGTGACAAAAAAAAAACCTTGGAAGAAAGTCCTGTAAGAACTAGCTGCTTCTGAAATATGTATGATTTAGTTACGCTTCAACTAGAGGGAACTTAAATTTTGTCTGTGTGTACTATTAGTAAACAAAATTATCCACACCTATTATTAATACATTATATATTTATATCAAATTTCTTTAGTTTTTAAAGCTAGGCCCATGTCTTCAAAAATTTCAACAATAAGTAGCAGTAAACTAATTTAGCTGGCATCCATTGAACAGTTGATTAAGTTTAGAAGTGCAGACAGACGTCTGAAATTATTGCTGAATGCTTGGAAATTGAGAGGAAAGTGGCTATGTTGTAAGATTAGAATGCAGAATACTTGGAATTAAGGCTCACTAAAAAAAACAGATTACTTCCAAATAAATTCTCTTAAGAATTCAAGCCTTACAGGTTTTATGAAGGGATAACCCCTACTGAACTTCAAGGATAGACTGGAAGTAATTCTGTTGCGTGATGGTATTTTCTTCTGAATAGGCATGTACTGTATAGAAATGCATCCTCATAGTAGCATGTAAAAATCGCACTTCAGCTTGTTTATTAAAAAACACTGAACTTAAATACGACTAGAAGTAAAGTACTCTATTTAGTCTTGCTGGTCTTTGAGGTGCCATTTTAACACATCCCATTTAAATATTTTAAGCTAATTTATTCATTTTGTTTTCTATTAAAAGAAATAGGTTGAAAGCTACTTCTGCAAAAGATCTCAAGGGGGAACCTTGTTTCAGAGGGCAGGTACTACTGTAGAGAAGGCTCACTTCCAGAGTCCCAATTGATGTCATTGTTTAATGAAAGGAAAAAATTTGGTGGCTTAAACGTATTGTAGGCTTATATGTAAGTGTGAAAATTCCCCCCCCCCCCCAAAAAAAAATTCCCTGGTTATCTGGAGACTTAGCATATATAGTACTTGAATACTTCAGTTGCTATAACAAGCTTCATCTAAAATGATAAAATGATGACAATGGGAATGGCTTTGTGGTAATTTACATTAGTCATTTCATATCTATATTGATTTGTGATTAATATATGTATGTATATATTTGTGTATATGTACATGTGTGTGTGTGTATACACCATATGTGTATGTATGTATATGGTATATATATTTTCTTATGAGAGCGGGCATCAGAATTTCATTTTTTAATATGTGCCGGTGTGTTTACAGTAAAAAGTGATAATAAAGGTTATATGTGACCAATAAAAATTGGAAACTGATTATTTTAAACTCTACCCCTCGTAGTGGCTAGTCTCAGTTTCATTTCAAGAATTTTCAGAAGCTGCATTTCTTAAACACCACCATCCAAGTTAACTTGGCTATTCCTAGGTTCTCAAATTGCTTGGCATAGGATGCCAGAATTTCTCCACATTTTGCATCTTTCAGCCTTTTAGTCCATCAATTTTGCTGCAAATGGGTTTTAAATGAAAACTGTTTAACATTGTCTTACTGATATTTTTTGAGCCTATTTGCTATTCAGTTATGTTCCTGTATTTTAATGTTAGTTTACTGCAATATATTGTTTTAATAGTAACATCTTGAGCACTGCTTGTACTGGAGCACCAAGCCATGAATATATTAAAAGTAAAATGAATAAGTGGAGCGAAAGCTTTTTGAGCAGATAGCAGAGGTTGGTTGATCTTGTTGGCTCTGAAACTAATTAGGGTTTAACCTTGTTAGTATTTGGAATGAAGTCCTCCAGAAGTGCTGAAGTTCGAAGTTGAGAAAAACACCCTAAAAGAAGGCAGTGGAACACCACTTTCATAATATCAGGAAATTACACAGCCAGATAGCCACCAGCTCAACTGAAAGTTTTATTTTTGTGCCTTTCTGATGCACGGGTTTGGCTTTGCGCTTGGAAGCTAAGCAGCACCTATCCTGATTCATATTTCGCTTTCAGGGCTGTGAGGTGGAGGAATGTAATAGCAAACCAATTTTTTTTTTTACAGCTGACACAAAAATATCATGAACAAATCCATGAATCATCAGGGCCCAGCTCGGTTTGAAGGAGCTATGTTTAAGGCTGATTGAAATTAAAAAAAAACCATTCCAAGCAGACATGGTTTAGGCAGGTAAAGATGGACGTAGACAGCATTTCAGAGCATGTTTCAGAACTTCAATAAAATGTCAGAAAAATCTTTTCATGGACATTTGTTGCATGTTGACGAATGAAAGTAGCTCAATATAAGAAAGCACTGAAGCTTAACCCTAAGCGGGCTTGGACCAGATGATAATTTCAAGCAATGGCCTTTGCAGGAAAAGTTCACCACCATCAATTCCCCCAGTAGGAAAAAACAGATATTTTTGACTTCCTTAGGGAACTCCTGAGTCACAAGCGGGATACTGGCGGGCCATATATTTATTTGAACAATATAATGCAGGGGTCTTCAAACTTGGCCGTTTTATGACTTGTGGACTGCAACTCCCAGAATTCCTCAGCCAGGCACGCTGGCTGAGGAATTCTGGGAGTTGAAGTCCACAAGTCATCAAAGGGCCAAGTTTGAAGCCCCCTGGTATAAATGCATCTGTTGCCTCAGGAAAACTGGGAGAACTTGAATTTTAGGCTGCAACCCTCTGACCACAGAATTGATTGGATTTTTCCTTTTTGAGGGCCTAGTTTTGGAGGGGCTAATGTAACATTGAATTATTTTTCTTGTGCTCCTTGGAAGTAGCTGCAGCTCTCC